TGCACGACGGAATTGCCACCTACCGGCAACTAGCAAACAGCGCACCTCATGCGCACTCTTTTGACCGCGCTGGTCATGAAGTCTCGAGCCCTCCCTTCGACTGCGGACCATGATTGGATGGAGTTAGGTTACCATGGTGGTTGCATGGGTCTTCATTGATCGCATCCCCCATACTTCTCCAATCATGATCCTCAGGCCAGGGCCAGCGGTTCTTTACCGCAAGAAGGTGAACCTGGTTGACGAACTGCTTCGTCATCTCCTCCTGCAACTGTCGTTTCCGCATATTGCGGCCTGACACGAACATTGGGTCGTGCACCAGGGTCCACCATTGGCCTCCAGCCAGGAACTGCATCATCATCTTCTTTGCCACTCCCCCCTTGGTGAGGGGGTCTGCCAGCTGTCGGTCACCATTGACCCATCTCAGATTCGTCTGAATCTGCATGGACTGAGCAACTGCCAGGGGCCAATTCGTAACCAGACCTTCCGGAACGCAGACCATGGAGGGAGCTGACATTCCTTGTCATGGCATCGTAAATCCCACGGGAGTCCATGATGAGGGCTCCCTGGGTCTTCTCTCGTACCATCTGGTACAAGTTCTTTCGATCCACCACCTCTCCGCTCATCTCGGCCAAGAGTGCCCTGAGGCGGAAACAAAGGTCTTCCCCCTCCGTGATGGCCTGGACCTCTGCCCCGTTGCTTCCAAGGACTTGCCGCGGGGTCTTCTGAGAGCGCCAGGTGATCAAAGCCACCTGCTGCGAGGTGCCGTCCAGTATGGACTTCGGAGCACAGCCGCCCACGATGCCCATCGTAGAGCTCTTGTCCGGTCGATTCGAGTTCGACGCATCGGACCAAACAACTATGCTCAAATCATGCCAAGGCACATTCCAGTGAGGGAACACCAGGGTCTGTGGCACCATGCGCACTTCTCGAACCAGTTGTTCGTACGAAGCAAGGTGTCCACCGTGGCATAGGGCACTTCTGACAGCACGAGAGCGAACCGATCACTCCCCTGAGTTGGCTGATCTCCGAGGAGGTTGCCACTGCCTTTCGGTTCTTTGCTCTCTCTTTGTCCACTTCAATCTCGTCCACCCAGTTCTCAGCATAGTCCGACTGACCGATGTGGATCTCCTTGTCGTTCTGGGTGATCTGACATCCAGCAAACGTGAATTGTTTCTCTTCCCATCGGCCCCATCGGTAGGATTGCTCCAGCTTGGTTTTGGCCTCATCAAACACTGCGTTGCCATCGCATCCGGCCAAAAGGAAGTCGTCAACGTGGACTCCAATCATTCCAACCACCAGTGGGCCATCTTTCAGGATGAAGATACATCCATCAGAAACCAGCTTCGTCCATCCTTGCTTAGCCAGGGTGCTTGCGACCTCGTCATACCAGGCTCTTGGAGCGTGAACTAGGCCATAGAATGCCTTGACCACTTTGAGAGGTAGCACGGGATTTGCCGGATCAGCTCCATACAAAACTGCCAGCTCCGGTGGTGCCCAAACAACTAGGTCTTCATTCTCCAGTGACTTCTTGGCCTGAAGAAAGGCTGACGCGACATCACCTGAACGGAGCTTGTATCCATAGTTGGCTGTAAGGCACAGGAGCATGTTGCGGGATACCCGGCTCATTGTTGGTGCTGCCGCTTGTACCTGAGTCAGGTTCGGCTGTTGAAAGCCAAGTACCACAAGGCGAGCCTTGGCGATTGAGCCTTCTGGTGTAGGCTTGGTAGTGAGCACCCATCGCATCTGCATCACTCTCTTCTTGTCCAGGTGCTTCCACTCGGTGTTTGTCAATGACCGTAGGGCCTTAGACTGGAGGACATTGGATAGCTCTTTTGCCTGGGCCAGGTCAAAGTCCTGCTTCCGGTCCAGTGAGAGCTCCTGCCACGAGTGCTCTTTGCCCTTCTCCTGCATCTTCTTTGACAGGTAGACACTGGCCTTTCGAGGATGCCTCATGAGGAAGACTGACTCTTCCTCTGTGACCTCGATCTCAAGGGCATAGAAATTCCCCTGCTCATCAACACCTTCAGAGGCTTTCCTCTTCGCAGCTCGGGATCTCCTTGGTTCTTCAATCTTCCTTCTCTTCTCCTCTGCCTCGGTACTGAGCTCTTCGGAAGATGATGACGAGGAGTCAGAAGTTGAGCTCGATGACTCTTGATCTTGTTGGTCATCTTCAAGGTCCAGTCTTCCGCTGTTCGAGGACCAAGCGAATTTCTTCCCGCCGTCATCCTGATGAGGTCCATGATGTCCTCCGGGAAGGTTGCATTGAGGAGCGGTGCACTGAGTTCCGCTCGAAGATTGGGCC